TTTTTTGTGCTGCTTGGGGCAGCAAAAAAGTTAGAGCCGGCCCTGCATGGTGTATAGGTTCAGGGAGGCTGCCCTAGATGCAGAAGGCAATATTGGGCAAGTGCTTGTGGAAGAAGAGTACAAAGAGGCTTGACAAGATATTTTCTAGATATGTAGCTGCATTATCTGCTTAGCATCCAAAAATCCCTCAACACACAATTATGTTCACACGTCAGATCAGGGTGGGGATGAAGGGGATGAAGGTCTGACCCAGCACAGGTTTAGAATAAGGGCAGAGGGAAATTTCTTTTGACTAAAGAAGGCAGCAGCACAGTTACAGGCAAAGGATGTTTTCCACTGTGTTGATCAGCATAAAAATAGCCTGCTTGCGCACAGTAGCCAGAAATAGTTTGACAGCAAAATAGAAACTATACCAGATTCCTTTGAGGCAGAAGAACACAGGATTTGCCATGTCAGATCAGAGCTTTGGTCCATCATGTCCTGTGTATCCCTCCTACTTCCAGATATTGCTCTGCCTACTCCCTACTTTAGGGTGAACTGCTCTCAGAATCAGTTCCTGTGCTCCATCAAGAGCAGAAGTTGCAATTCCAGCCAGCCCTTTTATGGGCTACGCAAGTGTTCACGCAAGTTCCTTAACCCTTTCCCACACTGCATAGCCATGTAAGGGCCAACCACATTCTAGCCCTTGGTGCGCAGACTTTTGTGTAAAGTCTTTTTTTTACTTGACTTTTTGCCTCTCTTTGGCACTAGAGAGTTGGCTGTTTGCAGCAACATAGATACAGATTTTGTGAATAAGAGGGCTGTAGAATATACAAAACTTTTGCTATTCTTTACTAAATTAGGAGGAACTAAAACAAATGTAATTTGGAAGGTAATAATGTTACAGATAAAGGGCCAAGTTTAATAAAACCTTGCAAAAGCTTCTAATATCAGTCTGCTGTGACATTGGCTAGCTAAGGTGTATGATTCTTTTGAAGATGACCTTGAGAGGTCATTTGAAGATATTTGTGGTAATAGCATTTTCACACAATCAACTGCATGAACCAAAAAATGTCATTTATAAATTCAGCTATGAGAAGAGCTTGTAGTTTTTCAGAAATATATAGTTTGGATATAGTTTCTTTTGCTATTCCGTCCTTAAAACAGAATGCCACCATTGTTGGTAGACTCCACCATGATCCCATTTCTTTCTAAAGCACAGAAATAAACACCCTCCTGCTTAGAGAATCTTTATCATAAAGCTGTGTCTAGAGTACATACATTGTCATGACTCAGCATGGCTCCTTTTGGCTCCCCTGTTGTTCCAGAAGTGTACACTAGCACACAACTTTGATTTGGCTTTTGAGAGCTAATAATGTCATTGAGTGTAGCATCTGGTATCTCATTTCCCAACTCCATAAATTCTTCCATCTACAAAATGAAATGGGAAAAAAACGATTGAAGGAATCAGCTAATAGCACGTGTGGAAATTGCAACATTTTAAGAGTCTGGAAAAAGAACAGAAAAATTAAGATTGGCCTGGCTCTTCTGATCTTTCTTAGGCAAAACTCCCATTCAGGTAAATTGGAATTTCGCCTGTCTGAGGGGTCTAAGCCCAATATAGGACCACAGTTTTGATCTGTATGTCACACAGTCCCTTCTCTATTAGTTATCCCAAAAGTTTGTGAATCAGCACCACTAACATACAGCTATTAGAAGTGGAGTGTGCAAAGGCAGTGAAGTTTTATTAATTATTTTGGTGACTACTTAGGGAATAGCATTCCTATTCACTTTTCTAGTCACGTGGGCTGAAAATGCAATTCAGATCTCATGTTAGAAATGGTTTTGATTCATAATTAAAGTAAATTGTATCACAGCTTATAATTAAAACACCAAGTAAACTGCCCAATTTTGTTGGGTTTCCAATAGATTATTTCTTGTCTATTCTATATACAAAGCACTTTAAGATTCTAGAATGAAAGGCTCTATGTAAAAGCCAAGTATTCTTATTATTTAAATGTGTGAACAATGGCCTTAGTTCTCCACTACCTAGGGAAGATGCAGATGCAGGAAGCTGGCTGAAGCTCTTTGATTCAGGGCTGTCCAGTCCCTGAACAAGGGAGCGCATGAGGGATTCTAGTCTAATGCCGCAAGCATATGGTCCGTTTGCGCAACCCAAAATTGCCTTAGCAGAATGGAGAATCTGGGCCAATATGTTCTATTGATTACTATCAGATATGTCTAGATAGAATGCATTTATATGGGTCTGAATGTAACATGTACACATTAAGATCCCATTATTTCAATGTTAATAGGTGATGGAGTGGGGTAATCACAGCATGTGGGAAAGAGAACCAAAAAGGGTTGTTTTCCCATTGAGACTGGATTATTCATATAATGTTTACACAGCTGTACATGAGCAGTGACTGAGGGCAGCACCCCAGTTCTATACCTGGCAAGGAATCTCCCCACTACTGTCTTAGGGGCAAATCTTGGACACTGCACCAAGCCTGTAATCAGCAACTGGGCTTTAGGGTGGCGGTGGCAAGGGAGAGTTTACATAGTTGAGAAGAATGGATCCTTCCCCTCAGGATGCACTCTGGGATCACTACCTCAGCATTTAACCTGCAGTATTCTTCATGGCAGAGAAACTGCCCCTCCATGGGAGAGTCTGTCTTGGGATTCCTTTTTAATCACTGACACACCACTCGTGCCCCATCCCTCCTCCAACCCCCCACCTGTAAAAGCATGCAGGAGCCCACCACAGAGCACACTTTCATGCATATAGAGGATGTGGACCCCTTCATGGTTTCCTCACATCCTGCTCCTCCCCACATAGCGGACTGTATCAATTCCACTGGCAACTGGCAATGATGCAGGGTCAGGATTTATTCCTATATGATTTGACTCTTCATGCTTTGTATTCTTGACCTTCCTCTCTTTCATCCCACAAGGCATTAATCTCTGTACGCCTGTTGCCTAGGCTTTGTTTACTTGAACAGCACCTGCACTAGGATAGTGTTTCCATTCCACAGAGACTGAAGGGTAAAGTCTGCCGTAGCTGCAGCAACTGCTCATTACTGTACAATTATCTCAACTGTCAATATATTACACAAAAACCTTTTCCTATCATCCTGTGTTTTATGTGACTGGGTTTGTATCAAAGCTAATAAACAACTATCTCTACCATTGGTGATTCGATCTCTGGGTGTCTCTGTATGGAATACAAACATGGCAACTGCCAATTCTTATCATCACAACTGATGTAACAATTATCCTCTCACTGAAAAAAGGTGGCAGATCTGTCACTAGATCAGTAGCATTTTCAGTTACATCTTGTTCTCCACTATTAGAAAATATAAACTTCATGTCATTTATCTCTTTCAAAGTTCTCAGACACTTGGAACTCAGTGTGAGTTAATCTCTACTGTTTATTGTTATTTAATAACTAATGTATATGATTAAATAAGCTCTTCTTTATACTGAAAATTAATTTTTCTTATTATTGCACTGCATTTTGTATAGAGCACTCTTGATATCTATGTGCCTTTGTATAGTTAAGTGTTTTATACTATGAAAATCAATACAGAGAGAAGGAACAATGTCGGCATAAATATGTTAAACATTTTCTCCTCACTTCTGTTACTAGTAAAATACTTTCCGTTTGGATATCTGAAGCTTTAGGAGATTTGTCTACTAGTCACTCTCTACTAAATGCTGTGTATTCTTTTTGCAATTCATTCAGCATGGGCAACGAAACTAAGCAGGGGATTTCCATTGTTAATTCACAGTCAGTTCCAAGCACAATGCGGATTTCAATGTTCACATTAGAAAATTGTCTTCAGTGACATTTAAAAAATAAATAATGAAAATTCTTCTACATATATTAGGTTTTGTAAAACCCTATTTTTAAACCTACATTTTGGGCCTATAGCTGATAGTGAGTCTGAACCTTAATCTTGTCCCTAATCTTGCTGTCTAAGTACTGCATGGGCTAAGGAAGACTCTGAATACACTAGAACAAGTGTTTTATTCTTTGCATATGTAATAGTTGCTTGTATTCAACAGTTGCTTGTGGATAGAAATATTTGCTACAAATACAAAGATTAGCAGAATAGGAGGTTCCATAGGACAACAAAATATTGACAATGGATTGTGAAGGCACAAGCATTTTCTAGTTCCCAGATCCAGCATAACTGACCACAGTTCAGTAGAGCTGGGCAGACAATGTATTAACAAAACAACAACAATAAAAGATCTGCAAGTATAGTCTCACCAGAAGTCTGCTAAATATTATGTTAATCCGATCTAGTAACTGAAACAATACCACATGACCAAGCCAGTCAACCAATGCAGCTCTAATTTTGAATATCAACTATCAAACAAGCTGCAGAGTCAATGAAATTAATGAAAAATGACACTGAAGTATTTTGAAGAGCAAACACATATGAAAACATTGTGATCCTCTGGCAGACATTCCACAGACAGAAAAGAAGTTGAACTACATCAAATGAATGAATTGTTACACTGCTCTAAAATTCACATACCGTATATAAATTGGGATGTCTCTCTGGCAAAGAGTCATTGTATAGCACAACTGCTTTCAAGCACGGTAGACGACTCCAGATCTGTTGGGGTTTTAAAAAACAGCAGCATATAATTTATTATTCACTTGTTTCTAATTTAATTAAAAGTGTCTATCAAAAGATTCCAAAAATTGAATTAGACTGATATCCACAAAAACCTTCAAACCCACCACAAATAATACTCCTCCCTAAAGCTACTCAGACCCAGTTCATCCCAGTGCCCCTGGGGAAACACACGGCCTTGCAGCATGCTCTGGAGGAGACTATATCCATGCTATGTTGGGCCAAGGTGCTCCAACTAAGGTCCCTCCTGAGTTGAGGACCTTAATTTAAAATGACCTGCCACCAGCCTCTTTGCATTTCAACCAGTGAGAGTGATGCTTTTAGGGTGGGATGTGAGCGGATTACAGCTGCTGTGGTTATCACATGAAGACAGAGATGGTCTCTAAAGTAGCCAAGCCTTGGTTAAGTTTTTTTTAATGTTCTGCCTCATTTTAAACATTTTATATATAAACATATATAATTTTAAAAAATAACAGCAATTTGGCAATTTCAAAGAAATAGAAAAAATTGAAAGAGCGCTATTGTATCTGAATACTTAGCTGGTGTGTTTAGCCTGTAAAAATGTTCGGTTCACCACTAGATGCCAGTGCTGCTGCTTTCACTTCCCATGCTGTAGTTTTGCCTATCCTTGCCAGAAGCATTTAATTGCATCATGGTGCATTGCCAGCCAAAGCTGCACCTACATTATTGACCTGAACCATGGATAGCTGAACTGGTGAAATTGTACCTGTGTGAATAGCAATGGTTAGTGTGTGACGGGTTGGATCACAGAAACCCCCTTGGGGCTGCCAACTGATGTGCCAAGACTACTTCATTCCTTTCTCAAGAAGCTGACCAAATGCTTTACTAAGGCTACTTAGAAATCAAGCAAGTACACAGACAATATTCATAACTTCAAACACAAAAATGACACATACATACAAATAGGATGAATAGATTCAGTAGATCATAACCTTTGCATAGATATGTTACATAGCTTATGTAGCATAAAACATATTCCAGTTATGTCATATATACATTCCTAAGCATATTTCCTTAAGGCCTTATGGGGTGCAACATCACACCTTCCTCCTGAACTTACTGCCAGAGACTTGGACACTGTCCATGGCGGAGGCAGTACATGTAAAATCCCTGTTTGTCTTTGGTCACACTCCCTTTCAGTACCTTTAAACCATATGATGTCATACTCATCAGAATTATGTTTGACAAGACCCAGGGATATGTTATCTCTGGCGAAGGGGAGTATCTTGCAGTATCCAGAAAAGGGACGAACTCCATCAGAGGCAGAGCAATCAACACACTTTTCATTTTCAGCAAGGGGACTTCAGGGACACTTCTCCTCCTTCATTCCCAAGAGCCTCCTCAAGCATATCACCGAAAGAAACACATGACCTAATGCTGTTCACTTGGGCTCAATCCAAAGCCCACTAAAGTCAGTGGAAAGATCACATTGTCTTCCTGGGTCACTGGATCAGGCCCCATATGGAGAAGCAGCATGGTCCCATTTGTAGCCTCCAATGAGTTTTGCCAAAATTGTGACACGTTCATTTTAAATAAAGAGCTTCCCACTCTGTCCATGTGTTTATATCATGTTAGTCACCATGATATTGGACTGCAGTTCATACCTGCCTCAATAGTTAACATTACAAGCAGGAAGAGATGATGTTCTGGAGAGGGAAGATTCAATCTCTAAACACCAATATCTTGAATAATTGGCTGGATGTCTGTTATAAAATGGATGCACTTAAAAGTTTCCTCCAGTATGATAGTCTCTTCTTTAACCAATATTTCATTTGCTCATTGGAGACCAATTGGGTTTACCACAGAGTTCAATGGAAACTGAAGCTGGCTCAGTCTAAATGGAGTAAATTCACTGGGATTGAATGAAAGCCCTGGTCTGTTTCATTGCTCTGCAATGTGCAGGTTGTAATTCCAGTTACAGTGAGGTAAATCTCCAGTGATAGTGAAGTTGTGTTGGGAAATAGTAACTTCTCTGTAAGAACAACAAGGAGTCTGGTGGCACCTTAAAGACTAACAGATTTATTTGGGCATAAACTTTCGTGGGTAAAAACCTCACTTCTTCAGATGCACAGAGTGAAAGTTACAGATGCAGGCATTATATACTGACACATGGAGAGAAGGGAGTTACTTCGCAAGTGGAGAACCAGTGTTGACTGGGCCAATTCAATCAGGGTGGATGTAGTCCACTCCCAATAATAGATGAGGAGGTGTCAATTCCAGGAGAGGAAAAGCTGCTTCTGTTCTGTAATGAGCCAGCCACTCCCAGTCCCTATTCAAACCCAAATTAATGGTGTTAAATTTGCAAATGAATTTTAGTTCTGCTGTTTCTCTTTGAAGTCTGTTTCTGAAGTTTTTTTGTTCAATGATAGTGACTTTTAAAAGTCACTCTCCTGGAATTGACACCTCCTCATCTATTATTGTTGTTTTTGTAGATACAGACTAACACGGCTACCCCCTGATACTATCTCCGTAAGAAGTCACCACTGTGATTCTTGAAATCCAGATCCAAATAACATGAAATGTGTCAGCCCATAAAAGGTCACCCTGTTAATCAGAACTCAGCATTATTACAGTAGTTAATCCAATAGTGAAACTGTTATTGCAATGAATTTTTGCCATTCTAATCACTTGCATTGAAGCAGACTGTGATATCCCACTAAGAATTAAGATATGATGCTCATCGTCAGAAAATGGCTTGTCAGATAACACTATAATAAACTGGCTAGTGCACTATCTACTGGATAGAATGAGAACTGGTCAGCTGTGTGTCACAGGCATTGTATTTTTTTAATAGCTATGGAGATTATCCTTTAGCTCAAATATCTCAAGTGGCAGGGGCCTGTGATTTCAGGACAAAAAAATATTAGTTCTGTCCCTAGTTTTGTGAGACGTTCCAAATGACCATTATACAGCTAAAATATTTGATATTTGGCCTTTTGCAGCATCATGAGCAATGGAATTACACCTCAGAAGTTACAGAAGCAACCCTCCATACCTGCATTATCTTGTCCAATTGTTTTTGATTTTCTACCACAATGATATCGGCTTTGCAGTCATAAGCAATGTAGTGGCAGGCCTCGGGAGAGTTCGTTGTATAGATGCCTGTGACAATTCCTCTGTTAAAAAAAAAAAAAAAGGTGAACTTGATGGATAAGTAGGAAAACACAGAGCACGATACACTTTTCCCTTCATACTACAGTTCAGAGGTGCCAACTTCCCCAGTTCTCAGAGGTGTTTGACCCCCTTCCAACCACAGGCCCTGCCCCCACTCCACCCTTCCCCAAAACTCTCACCCCCGCCCCACCTCTTCCCACCCCCACTCCGCCCCTGCTCCTCCCCCTCCCCCAGCACCTCCTGCACACCACTGAACAGCTGGTACTGGCAGGCGGGATGTGCTGGAGGAGGAGGAAGAGGAGCTGATCAGTGGGACCCACCAGGGGACAAGAGGGCTGGGGGGAGAGGGGAAGGAACTGATACGCCAGGCTGCCGGTGCGTGCTGAGCACCCACTATTTTTTTTTCTATGGGTGCTTCAGTCCTGGAGCACCACCAGAGTCGGCACCTTTGCTACAGTTGTTCAAAAGGGGAGAAGAATTTGAGATTGGATGAAACCCAGTGGAGTGCATAGGGGGGTGGGTACACACAGTGTGCAGCATAAATGTGGCTGTCCGGCTTGCCCCAGGTATCTGCACAGCTAACAGTAACAGACACAAGAAAAGAGTTCAGCACTTAGTCTGAAAAACAGCACCATTATGTGGTGGTGTGACTATCTGAAGCACCAAAAGCCTTGTCTACGCTAGGGAAATTCATAATTCTTGCAATAATAGTGGAGGCTGTAGTATAGGACTCAGTACTTTTACCCTACATGTTGCCTAGAATAGGCTTAGACCATGCAGTGGAAAAATGCCTACGTCCTCTTTACAGGACATCCTCCACTATTTCTGCCACTGACGGAGCTGCACTGATGGTGAATTATCAGTTTGAATTTTGCTGGTGTAGGTGCACCCTCACAGAGACCAAATCGAGAAACTGATTATTGGAATTAGACAGACAGACACTGCAACAGACAGAATTCGGCTGGTTAGTGCTTCGCTTGTCACTTCATCAATGTCATATTCTGCACTGGAATCAGGCCAGGAATCAGTTCATGGGCAGGCTCAGCTACACTGACAGGAAATTGGTGGGCTTTGGTCCATATCACTCAAGGAACAGAGATAAGAGACAATACAGTATATTGTGTGTCTAATGCAGTTGGGACTTTAGCAAAGAGGCTCATTTTGTGAGGTTTTGGATTGCTTTACTTTAGATACAGGGAAAGTAACAGGTCCCCACCATGTGACTGAACATACTTATGAGATGGTAATATTTGCAAATGAAACAATACTACCGGTCATAGTTTACTGGGTCTTTAACTCACCCCCTGAGGCACTGTGAGCCACAATAGCTCTAAAAAGCAACAGAGGGTCCTGTGGCACCTTTAAGACTAACAGAAGTATTGGAGCATAAGCTTTTGTGGGCACTC